CGAATCAAATCTTGGTGAACTCTTTTTTGTGTTTCCACTTAAATAAGTAAATATTGTAAAACGAATCATCATGGATTGGTTCCCAAAAGTAAGAACAGCATAGTTAATAATCATTGTACGGATAAAGTTAAATGACTAAAGAAGCTGTTTGTGTGCAGATAAAATTTCCGCTAATTACTCCAGAGGTCATTGAGCAATTTTATTTCGATGAATTATCCTCTGTATATAAAAAGAGAAGTATTTTTTGATTAATTTGCTTAAGTGTCAAGTTTTCAAATTTTTGGAGATTTTAATTAAAAATTAAATCTTATTATTAATTTTCTACTATACTATTACCTAAACAGTCCACTATCCTATTTATTCTCTCTACTATACTATTATCCAAACACTACACAATCACACAATCCTTATAACCAAACATTATTAGAAAACAATTTTTTGGATTTGTTTTTTAAAAACGAAAAAAAAAAATACTATTAATATTCACCTATTCTTATAATTAGCTTAAACCTATAAAATTCAATTCATATTTGCAATCTTTTATTTTGTATATTTGAGTCATAAACCGTATTTTTAAAAATTATGATAGTAAATAAATACATTTCATTAGTAAGTGATATATATTGACTAAAAAAGATTCAATTATTTCACGGGTGGGATGCATTTCTATACTTCTATACAAAAGAGTTACAAAATTCATATATATAAACAAGTTTTAAATTCCTTATAATATTTTTTTCAATAACTATAAATTATATTTTTAACTAAATCTAGATTAATTTTACTCGTGTATCACATTATCTCGCATATAACGCGGATCACTATCTAGTTATATTGGTTTAACATTGCCTATTTAATGAAAATGATCTAACTCATTCTGTATGGAAATTATAATAATAAAATTGATGGGCTATAAGAAAAGATATCCCCACCACCAAATGTAGCATAAAGACAAGCTTCATGTCATTGCTATTAATGGCATCAAACTACAAAGTCTAATTTTTTTTAGGGATCGGTAAAAGTCAGGCCAACAGTAGAAAAATTGTTTGGTTTGGATTATATATGGCTATATAACGGAGGTGTGAATTATATTTAAGTATTTAAACTTTGTAGTACTGTTTATCTCATTTGTTCATTCAAAACTCTTTTTTTTTTGGTTTTGGTAAAATGTTAAATTCCATTCAAAACTCTTGTTTTTTCAAATTATTCTTTTCTTTTGACAGAAAGCTATAATCTTCTTAAATCTAGGACCAACATTTGCTAATATACTATATCGGAACATAAATTTACCAATAAGAACTAACGGTTTCTCCTTTGCGTTACGATTAAATTCACAGTGGAATGATTAGTCGAGTTTTGATTCACAACTCTTAGTTTTAAAAAGAAAAAAAAACGTTTCGGATTTTTATTTTTTTCCAGTAACAATAGCGATAATATAGGTTTACAGCAAAAAGAAAGTGAAAATGTACGTCTATTTTGTTTTTGTATAGAAGAGAAAAAGAGGCAAAAATTTAAAGAAAACCCCAAGTAAAATTTTTGTTTGACATGGTCCACAATGACATGAAATGAAACAGTAGTAGAGATTGATTGATTGACTCAACCTTTCTTCTTCTTTATTAAGTAACCCATTCAAACACACTCCACTGCTCCATTTCCTTCCCTCTCTGTCCCCATCCAGTTTTGTACCTCTGCCACAAGTTACCCCTTGCCGCTAGCTTCTTTCAGGGGTAATTTAGTCTTTTCTTCCTGGTGTTGTCCACTCACACCGAGAACCAAATATATCGTCGTCACTCACTACTATATATATATATATTCCCCTTCTACCTACCCTATAGTCTCCTCTCTAATCTTTTATACTATATTCTTATTTGTTGATCACTAGATTTGATTCCAACTTCTCTTTTTAACTATAAATTACTGTATTTGTCTAGATTTGTAGAATTAACTACTGATTTTTTTTTTTTACTATGAACACAAACTAACTAACGTGTCAAAACAAAGATTGTATAGAATGATAACTAGCAACACTAACGGAATTTTATGCCGCTTTTGCTACCATCAGTTCTATATTAACGTGCATGTTAAAAAAAAAAAAAAACATTTTTTCTGTGAAACAATAACTTAAAACATTTTTGTCCAAAGATTATTTTGGTTTTTTTTTTTTAAAAAAGGTTTAATTCGTAATTAGTGTATTTGTTTCGTTTTCTTACTACGAAAATTGAATCCTGACAAAATAAAACTTCTTGCCACTATGGAGAGTCGATGGAGAATTAATTACTGGAAGTGTAAGTTTTTTGTCTTTGTAATTGTAATTTAAAATGTGTTCATTACTAAAGAAATTGATTGATAATTAAATTTGTAGATCTACAATTATTTTAAGTTACTTTGACTTCATTAACAAAATCGAAACAATGTGGTTACATTTAACCATCTAAAATTCAAAAGTTATATAAGTACATGTAAACCATGAAATTCATCTTGTGCGATCAATAATTATGTATATATGTACATTAAATTATGAATATACTACTGGAGAGGCAAAACAAGAATGAGTAGATCGTGAAGCCATGAATGGTACATGTCTGCACTAGCCACAGTAAAATTATCGTATATTTTCAAATATGCATGAATGCTCAAGGTTAATAACCAGGGTACATATTTCAGATCCGAATTTTAAAATTGAAGAATTAAATGATCATATGTAAATTACGTAGACGTAAGAGAGTAGGAGAATGGCTCCCACCCATGTAAAAAAGTCGGTTCCTCATTCTATGGTCCAAAATACGAATGAAGTGGCCGAACTAAAGTTTGTTTTTCAAAAAACAATGAAATGATAATCATGAGAATATGTATTGATCGACAGGGAAAAAATGATAAGAATAGGTATATTGATTTTTGTTACATAGATCTTTAGTTTCATATTCCAAAGATTATGAGTTGAAAAAAAGTTGCATCTTCACTGTTTTTTTTTTGATAAAAGGTAAATATCATTTAGACAATGAAATGTTAGAGGTTACAAAAATTACATCTAAATCTTACAATACTTTGCCCAAAAAAAGAATAAAAAAGCAAGGTAGTATAAAGTTATGTCATGAACACAAAACTCATCTTAGCCAAAGCAACATAATGTTGTTAAAGTCACTGCGTTTCCTTC